CGGGACAGTCCTGACTGATTCAGGACGCTTGAGACCTAAGATAAGACCTAGGTGTAACTAACATTTACACCCTCATGTCTATTCTGTGTCTGTCTACAGTTTGACCTTAAAATTGAAGGGCTGAGAACCAGAATGGTGTAACCCACAAAGGGCCATTTATACCACCTTGACGTGAAATTACCATTATAATGTGTTTAGGAAGGAGACAATCTTTTGCAAAATCCCATATATCTCACTTTTAAAGTATACCCATATTTCCCCCCATTTTTGCACTCTTTAGGCAATTTGCCATACTTATTTTTGGAATATACCACTCTGGTTCTCGGCCCTTTAATTGGAAAATGGGACAAGCCCTCTGTAATTATAAACTATAACGAATGCAATGCATTATTGGCGCGAGCAATGATTTTTCATGCGTTTCACTTATAACATGACTGTATGTACAACGTTGATCAATGGGTCATATGGAAAAGCCACACATTCAGACAACTAGGCTGGCTTGCTTCTGTCAGCAGTAAGTATCAGTACGTGAAGGCTGTAGATATAATATCATGTAAATTTGCTTTTGACATGTGAGTTTGACCTTCAAATTGAAAAATGGGTCCAAAGAGTACCACTGTCAAATGGCTTTTGGATACACAAATTTTGATTTTAGGTAACCACCTAGACATAACCTCTCAACAACATTAGCAATTTTCTGTATATTATATTGCATGTGACAGCACCGCCACACTGCACTTACCGTAATGTTATTATACGTTATTTCAAAACACACCCGAAAGTGTGCACAACAATTCAACAATTTCTAGTTCATTATTTTCGTAAAACATACATCTTTGCCCTTATCATATCTAAAACGCTATAATGGATGTATTGATTTGGCCTCTAGTGATCATACCTCGGTGGTGGCCTGGTGTACATCAGCACCAGCCTTTAGCAGAATGTCCACCACCTCAGAGTGTCCCTCATAACAGGCAACATAGATTGGACTGAAACCATCCTGTACAGTGAGAGAGTAGGAAGGGACACCACTAGTGAGGTAGTCTGGAACATGGAGTCAAACTGCTCATTACAATACCAAGAGAATGTTTCAATGTGGATGGGAATTTATTTTTAAATGGGGATTTTTTTAAATTAATCATATGAGAGCAATAATTAACCCATATTGCAAGGAGGCAAGGGCATTTAAATGGATGTAAAATTATTGATGTGTGCCTTAGCTATAAAGTTCTTTTAACTACGGTATATACCAGTCAGAAAAAACGCACCAAAAATACAAAGTGGTTAATACACACTACACTACAAAAACGTACTGTATTGTAATTACAATATACTCTGATCTACACGGGAAGCCCAGAATTTTTCTAAGTGTAGCTACGCCGTAGCTATAACTTCTACAAAATACAATGACGTGTGTGCGTAAATGAGATCGTAGTTTTACTACGATGGACTTGAAGAGCATAGTTTAATTACGAGTCTATAACATACACGGTGGTCAGTCACCTACTTGAGACAGCGGCCAGTCACCCTCTTTAGATCGACGCCATGGCAGCAGCAGCGACATTTTAAAACATCACGTGAAGGGTGAAAGCTCTAAAACAGATTTGTGCATAATACACTACAATGCAAGAAGTCTTCACCCACAGATGGATGAACTAGCTACGTGTCTACTGTGCCCTTGAGAAGCCTGATATTGTATGCATCTCAGAAACATGGCTCTGGGATGAAATTGCGTTGTTGGAGTGTTCTATACAAGGGTACCATTGTATACAACATGACAGACATTGTCGTTGGTGGAGGAGTAGCATGTTATAATCTGAACACACTAGAGTCACAGGTACTACTGCTGGGAACAATGATTAGAGTTCCACTTGGGTCTCTGTATCCCATTGCAAGTACGCCAACACCAAAAACTTCATGTAGAGTGTGGTATCGACCACCCCATGATAGAGAAGCAATTGAAAATCTTGAGAGCCTCAATGTCAAGAGTTTTTTTTTCTACTTTTGTACTTTTAGGAGATTTTACTATTGATTTCCTCAACCAACAACACCCACCCACTCTTTTCTAAACTTTTATGTACATTATGAACAGCTTCGATCTAACTCAAGTGGTCTCGTCCCCTACTCACGTCTCTCACAACGGAAAAATTGACCTTGCCTTAATATCATCCTCATCCAAGCTAAAGGAATGCTCAGTAATCCCTCCTCTCAGCAACTCGGACCATGATGGGATTCGCCTTGCTTTGAAGATGCTTCCTTCCATCCGATAGACTACTAATAATGGTGCACGAACAATCTGGAGATACTCCCAGGCAGACTTTACCAAAGCCAATGCTATTATACTCTCCACAGACTGGAGTGATATTTACAGAGAATCAGACATTGAGAAAGCATGGAGTCAAGACGTTAATGGAATCAGTATCAGTATATGGAACAGGGTTTTCACGTAATTCTCTTATTCCTAGACCTATCCAAGGCTTTTGACGTACCGCTACTCCACCATGCCTAAAAGACACTGGTCTGAATCCTTACATTGTACAGTGGATTGCATTCTACCTCCTAAACAGAAAACAGTATGTTGTTGTTCAAGGAGAATCATCAACTGACACCTCAGTTGTGTCTGGTGTCCCATAAGGGTCAGTACTTGGACCTCTGCTGTCTTTATCATACATCAGTTCCATCGGCCAGCTTCCTCTGTCCAATGGTGCACAAATGACATTGTATGCAGATGATCTCCTTCTCATCAAGCCAATCAAGGATGCAAATGATTACATATCATTGCAACAGGACATCACAACCATCACTAACCACATCGAGGAACTCTAAATGCATCAAAGTGTAAGTATATTCTGGGGTCAAGAAAAAGACAGCCTCTTCTCCCTCCTCAAGAAATATCCGTCAGTAGTTGCCAGATTGAACGAGTTCAGAGCTACTTCAACCTTGGAGTCAGAGTGAACCAATGCATCTCATGGTCTGAACATATCCAACACCTATGCCTAAAAGTGCAGAAACTAATTGGTATGCTGTACAGACAATTCTATACCTGGGCCAACACCCTCACCCTTCGTACTGTGCATATGACATGCATTCGACCACATTTAGAGTATGCTTCTCAGCTATGGGATCCATGCAACGAGAAAAGATATTGAAGCTCTCGAGTCAGTTCAAAAATTTGCCTGCAAAGTTTGTCTAAAGATATGGGACATGAGCTACGATTCTGGTTTTCTTTCTATCTTTTCTATTCTCTGTGGCTTGTATGCTATAAATATATTTTTCATGTTGCACCTGCTTAACCTGCCACCTCCACATGCCAGACGCAGATATCTCAAACTTGTCACAATGTTAAACATCATCATTGGACACTTGTATTTCCCACAAGGCATTTTCATTTCTCAGCAGCCTACATAAGACATACTTCCCAATTTGACTTCTGCAGACCAGACATCTTACGTTCCAAGTGTAATTTCAGCATGGAATAATTTACCAGCAGTAGTAAAGTCTCCCTGTACTGTCTCATCTCTTAAAGATCAGTTATTGTATTACGACACTAGCACTCATGCTAACTGTGATTACATGCCATCTTTGTTCAAGAAGTCACAACTAAGGGCGTGTATTGACTCCAACATGCTATCTTCTACTGTAGCTAGCCCGTGTCAGACTCTCCACGAGCTCAGCAGGAGATCACGAGTAAACAGCCCAGCCCTTCGATTATTGGTATGTACCGCGCATGCATACTGTATTTCGCCGAGGGTTCCCACTTTAGTGTAGAAGGGGATATAAGGATGGCTGGAAGCACCAAAAAGAAACAAGGTCTCTTTATATATATAGCATATAATACACAAAGCTACATGACACCATTCCTATATCTTTGGGATGGTGTCATGTAGCTTTGTGCATCTTAGCTGTGTAATGACCCATTGTTTCTTCCTTTTTGGTGCTTCGAGCCATCCCTATCCCTTTGAAGATTATCCACTATTTTTAATGAATAGCTATAGCAACACTGCATCTGATGTGCATGGGTATGTTGTAGGGTGACCATCGACAAATTCTAAATTCAATTCTAGTTCAATATTTTCGTAAAACAATGACATCGTTGCCCTTTATAATATTGTAACCAGGCAGACAACAGAAGCTACATGACTCCGACCCACGTTGTCTCACGCACCCCTGAACATTCCTCACCTGCCCCTGACTTACATATCCACTTATACCACTGTAGTGTGTATTTTCAAAGACGCTGCCCACAGTTTATTCAGTATAACCACCAACTGATAACATATCTACCTGTGAATATACAGGATATCCTGTGAAATAACATGGATGACCTATAAAATATACAGGAAGTGATATCCGAAGCGTGTTGAGTACTGTTCTAGAACTTCTCTATGACTTTTCTCCTTCAAAACGGCCTTGTGCTGAGCTGCTTGGAGTACAGAAGGTTAGCTTCGTTCTTTCTAACACGAAGTGGCCAATTTACCACGAAGCATCAGCGGGTAGATTACTGGTGAAACCACTCGTTTCCAGGCTTATTTTCTGCCTACAATTTTTCTGGAGCGCTAAAGGTTCATAACCATCTCATCTGCATACTTTTCGCTAAGGATGACTGCAATGGTGCAATCGTTGAAGAGAACTAGCGTTCGGTCCGACCGACCTAGCAAAATGGTGGCAGGTCCACACCCGTGCCCAAATAAGGTCCGAAAATGATGACGCAATCCGTTACCATGCTATAAATTACTTATACCATGCCTACTGCGGTGTTTCCGCAAAACCCTTGGGATTATAAACACATTCCTTCGGGTATTTGCTATAACCCCCTCGTAGGGGTGGTATAAGTACTACATGTTATCCAGTTCCCCTGTATAACTCGCCCCTTACACTAACACACTATAAAAGCACCTTGCTAAATTAATGTGTCCTCTCGACCTGATATCGGTATTGCTATACTCGAGGAAGCTGTTGAACGCGCAGAAGCCACGCTAAAATATCTAAAACGCTATAGTGGATGTACTGATTAGCCTCCAGTGATCATACCTTGGTGGTGGCCTGGTGGACATCAGCACCAGCCTCTAGCAGAATGTCCACTACATCAGAGTGTCCCTTACTGACTGGCACCATAGAGTGGACTGCGACCATCCTGTACAGTGAGAGAGTAGGAAGTAGGACACCACTAGTGAGGTAGTCTGGAACCTAGAGTCCAACTGCTCATTATAATACCAAAAGAATCTTTTAATGTGGATGGGGAATTAACCCATATTGCAAAGAGGGAAGGTCATTCACTCCACGTGAGGCTGGGCAACTTCCGTTACTATAATATTTATCAGCTAGCTACATATGTAGCTATGCATTGAACAGCTTGAGGCACAGCAATGCCAGACTTCATCTGTTCCTTTTCTCCCCCACTCTACAGTGTGCAGTAACTGGCAACAAACACCAGCCACATGCAGTGGTTTATCTTTAATTCCTTCTGTGTCTGGACTTCCATTTAAATGGATGTAAAATTGGTGTCTGCCTTAGCTATACAGTGCTTATAGCTACTTAATTAATATTATATGGATGCATTATTGTCACATGGCATTAATTGGCGAGCTAAGGTGAGTGAAAACTTGATGAATTAGGTAAGCCCTTTGGCCTGACAGTTGTATTTACGACACAAGTGGAAATACCATTCCTTTAAAAGTAAGGTGATATAGGGATGGCTTGAAGCACCAATAAAAAACAAGGTGTCTTAATATACACACCAAATATACACAAAGCTACATGACACCATTTCTATATCTTTGTTCATAACCAAAATTTCACATTATAGGGATGGTGTCATGCAGCTTTTTGTGTATCATTGCTGTGTAATGACCCATTGTTTCTTCCTTTTTTTGTGTTTCGAGCCATTCCTATCCCTTTGAAGATATTCCACTAATTTTAATGAATAGCTATAGCAACACTGCATTAATTCAACCTGATGTGCATGGGTATGTTGTAGGGTGACCATGGATGAATTCTAACTTGTTGAAAGCAGTAGCTATGGCTGAAGCAGGGTGCAGTAGACATCCACAGAGACAATGTATTGAAATCAGGTTATGGGTGGTGGTTTCAAGGGTAATCAGACTACAATGTTAGCGACAAGCTGGAGGGTTCAAGTAGCTAACTATACGCGCAACAAAGAGGTGCAAGTGCAACAGCAGTTGCTCAAATGAAGATTAGCTTGTTGGACATTGTTGTGTTGTAGATTCGAACCCCTACCAGCTGAGTTGCCCTGGTAGCTCAGTTGGTAGAGCGCTCGCCTAGACTGCAGAGTGTCGTGGGTTCGAATCCCACCCAGGGCAACTCTTCTTCTTTTCCTTGAAAAGAAAGAGCTGTCCTGGGTGTATAATAGTCAACTTGTTTGCCTTGTCTTGCCTTTTGACCTCGTTACCAAGTTGTTGGAAATATGTAAGTACCTTATCACAGACACGGATGTCAGCTCCATTCTCTATCAGCAGTTTAACTACAGCTGTATGACCCTTCCAGGAGGCAATGTTGACTGGAGTATCACCATCCTGTAGAGAACATACAACAGAACACTGGACATGGGACATGGTGTGAGGTGAGAATGGTTCATGAGCTCTGCTGTGGACTGGGTTTCTATACAGCAGTTATGTGGTGGTATTGTGGCTACATAATTGGTCCTGTCAAGGTCTGTCGCCTTGTTCAACGAAGACTAAGTTCTCTGTTAGCAACAGTCGTAGATAGTCACCATAACTGAAAGTAGGAATCAGGACTGTAGTTGTCATCACCTTGTCCTTGTGGTTGACGTTGGCTCCTGCCTCCAACAGTCTCTGAACTGTCTCAGTATGTCCTTCCTGGGCAGCTATCTCCAGAGGAACACTGCATGGTTCCTGGAGAGAGAAGACAGAAACTGACACTAAATATCTCAGCACCTAATAAGGTATGTCTGCCGTTATTATGGGCCAAACATGCTGTATCATTCACTGCACATATTTTTGGGTACTAAAGTGTGGTGTTTGTTGGTGTGTGTGAGATGCCAAAGAGTCTGCTGTGTACTTGTGCCTTTTCCCTATACTCTATGGTACAATGAGTGGAAAAATCATTTCTCTGAAATGAAGGGCTGTAGGGATGCCACGTCATGAGAAAGGAGGGGAACGGCCTACACCGAGAGAGAGAAAGTGATCACCAAGGTTACTAGGAGGTTGGTATCTTTGCATGTACACAGTGCTGGTGGTATGGAATGGTTTAGGTTGTTCTTGCTGAGTCATGAACCGATGCACTTTGTGCACAGATGATGCAGAATTAATATTGACTTGTTACATCCCTACATAGAGTGTCTAACTACCGGCACTCTGATTAATACTTTCTGCAGATGTTCTATTCCACATCAATGAGGCATTTTTGTGGCAGCAGTTAGCTAGGAATAGCTATCCCCTACAAACTAAAAATGTGTAACCTGGTTGTAAAATTGGGTCTCCAAAAAGTGGACAAATACCAAGAACAAATTAATGTCGAAAACTCCTCAAACCTTTCACCTCTAGCTATACAGACACCAGCCCCGCAACCGACTGCCCAATACTTTAAGCTTTTGAGAGCAGACAGAGAAGTGTGTCACAGTCTTTCCAGGGATCACTGGAGTCACAGTTGTACCCATAGTCTAATAGCCTTGTTCCCAGGACAGGAGTAAGAAATTACCTGGGAATGAGGAACAAGGCTGTTCTTTGCCTAGCTAGCACCTCGAGTGAAGACAACACATGCTATTCCCATCACCATAATCTTTTCATTGTGCCCCAACTTGATGTGCAATGCTGCTCTGCAATGGTGTATAATACAATATCCAATAGGTAATGGGACAGTTCAAAGAGGCACAACATCCCTTTTACTAGAAGAAGGCAACACATTCTTGGCAAGTGAAGCGAGCAGTTATGATTATTCGCTCATTTCATGAATCACGTAGAACATTTCAGTGTGTGCAGTGCCCGTCACATAATGTATAGAAAATCGGTAGAAACGAGTAGGTTCACTCACCAATACGTATTTTTAGGTTTCAAACTAGTTATTAAGTTAAAATTCCATGACTTTACTCAGCATTGTGTCAATAGGAAGACACTGTTAATCTATCCAACTCTCTCAGAATGTTTCACGTACATACCTCGGTTGTTGCCTGATTGATATCAGCTCCAGCTTTCACCAGAACATCCACCACCTCAGTGTGTCCATTACCACTGGCAGCATAGAGTGGACTGAGACCATCCTGTACAGTGAGAGAAAACTAATCAGACATTCCTGACTCACTAACTATCCAACTCTCTCAGAAACGTACCTTGGTACATGGCTGGTTGACATCAGCTCCTGCTTTCACCAGAACATCCACCACCTCAGTGTGTCCCTCTTGGCTGGCAACATAGAGTGGACTGAGACCATCCTGTACAGTGAAAGAGAACTAATGATACATTCCCCACTACTGACCACTCATCTCCCTTCCTTGGCACCAGGAGACCTGACAACCATCTCTGTCAGGTCTCACCCTCAATTTATATACAGATACTGTCATTGTCACTATTCTGAAGTCTATCATAATACAGTGGGTCCCGGTTAATATCATACCCGCGGTCATCAAAAATATGACATTATGCGGGATGTTCTATAATGTGGGCGCGTATACTGTGTATACTCAGGGTGTCTATACTGTGTATACTCTGGGTGTGTATACTGTGTATATTGTGAACTAGATAGCGCACAATGCAGTTTGTTTAGCTAAGCTAATGAAGCTAGGGTAGCCAAGCTGTTTACATAAGCTAATGAAGCCAGGTGGAGAATGGAGAGTTGCAAAACTCCAGCCCAAGGTTGCCTAATCACGCATGCGCAATAATGACAATATGCGGGCAAAACCAAAATACTCATTTTTTCTATGGTAATAGGCGGGATATGACATTATCCGTATTCTATAAAACGGAGTAAAATGTATGGGAAAGCATAGGAAATGGTTTTGGATTTCAGGTTTGTATTATAATACACGGGTTATTCTATTAAACGGTATGACAATTATGTATTAAGTGGGACACACTGTATTATACCTTTCACCTATTGTAGAGACAGGCACACATACCAAGTACTGTAACCTTCACTTCGCATGTGTGTCGAGGGTTAATGAACATTACAGTAGGACATTACATGATTCCCAAACCTTGTCAGGGATGAAGACTGCAGCCCCAGCCTTGAGCAACAGACGTACAACCTCAACATCACCTCTGCGAGAGGCTAACAGTAGAGCAGTGTATCCTTCCTGCATGTGGTGGGGATATAGAGACCAGTGGAGCAGCAGTAAATGAACTGAGTCAGAAATGAGACTACACATTCACTAGTAGAGAGCCTCACATCCTCAGTCCTGGAGTTGATATTGACAGAAGTGGAGAGGAGTCTCTCAACTGCCTCCACATCTCCTCTCTCAGCAGCATCGTGGAGCTCTGTTCTTACCTGGGGAGAGGGAGAGACACAATGGTGGATAGAGAGATATAGGGAGAGAGAAGTGTGGATAAAAAGAACACAGAAACAGGTTTAGTGGAGAAAGTAGCTACACCTCCGGTTGTACAAACCTGGGTAGAGACTTGTAGATATCTGTATAGGGAAAAGAACTGCTCAAAGCAGTCTAAAACTGATTGACATAAATACCTGAACTGGCAAGAATGGACATGTTGTGTAAAGTCAGACAACTCTCCTTTCCACCAACAGCCTTTCTCCTTGTGACGACAGAACACATGAAGCTCCTTCACTTGTCGACGGACGTGTTTGTCCAAAACGGTACTCCAGTCAGGAGACTTGCAGAGTGGACATGGTCCTCCCTCTCCCTGTATTCTGGTGGCAGACTCCTCTGAGAGATGTTTACCACAGCATGACGTGAGGTGAGGCTGGAGCAGTAGACCCAACGTCACCGGACAGAAGAAATCCTCTGATGGCTTCTCAACGAAGGGGTAATCCTCTTCTGGTGAGAGACGGGACTCCTCTGTCTTGGGTCTGGATGGATGGTATGTATGGTAGTAATGGAGTTCACCATGCAACAATGGGTATAGTAACATACTGAGGAGGTGATTTCTCAACAGAAGCAGCGGCACCACCAGCTGAAGGTCCAGGACCAGGTGACGAGACTGCTGCTGACTTCTGCCATACAGACATGGAGGTCTCAGGTAACAAGGAGTTATTATACAACACACAATCTCACCTGAGGAGGTGGATAAACCTTGACTCCTGCAATTTGAAGGCTAACGACAGTATACTTCTTGAGGATGTGGTGAGGGATGTCTTCTCTCAGTTTCTTGACAATGGACTCTGGTATGAACCAGGTGATGATGAAGGAACCGGGACGGAATCTCAGCTACTATCATGGCACAGTCTCGAAGCTTGTAGTGATAGGCATACTCTTGTCGAAACTGCTCCACAACTTCCAGTGTCACTTCGTGCGGCCAGTCAAACTCGGCGACCATCTCCTTGAATTCCTCAGACGGCTTCCTTCTCCTCTTCTTCTGACACTGGCAGAACAGAGCTAGTGGTGTCTTCTGGCGGAACTTCTGCAGATCTAACTTGTAGGCCTCCATCTCCCTCCTCACCTCAAAACCAAACTCCTTGATCAGGTAGTCCAGCAGCTGGTAGGACAGGTAGTTCCACTGCAGTAGGCTCAACTTTCCAATCAGCTCCGAGATGTCAAAAGACTGGTAGAGATCGCTCAGATTGTCTTTCAGAAACAGTTCATGTTCCTCAATGTCATCTGCAGGCATTGACGTGAGAGCGTCAACGACTTGCTTGACAGAAATCTTGCGTTTCTCGAGGCACCCCCTGGCAGCCTTCTTCAGGTCATTGAACCTCTTCTCAAACCTTCTAATCTTGGCCTGGACATACTGAGTGGTCATTGGACCTGTTGGACAGACCATGGTCACATAGAGTTATGGATCAGTGGCAATATCCCAGACAGGTGTGGAGCATATACGTACTAGGCTGAGGTGACTCTGGTCGATGCTGGAGTTCAGTCACTGCATCCCCAGTTGCTAGAGATGAAGGAATAGACACATTTTTATGAAACGTCTTACACTCATAGTGTGTATAATGTATATTAACGGCCACTGTATCAAGATTCATTGTTTCCTTAAATGTATAAAGTATGCAAAGTTTATTCATTACTGCCCTTACAATTTATGAGTGGGTGTAGTTCAACTGCATTATACTTGTTTGCATATAGCAATTGCTGGGTCGAATGGCAGCTGCCATAGGGGTGGGTTTCGTAATAAGATTACATCTTCTTCATTGTGATGGTATAGCTACCCTCTTAAAGAGATTATCCGCCGTGATTTCAACTTGGCTTGTGATAATGACGCACGTGATGTGACTGGCAGAGAATCGAGCATTACAAATTTTCCGGAGTGGCCCTGCTACACTTGTTAACAGCTACAGTATAGTGGACTAACTTGGTTGTGGTATGTCTGGTTGATAGTCTACTTTGAGTGGTGAGGCTCCAGAACCTGTGGAAACATAATTCAAACAAGCAGAAATATGTACTGGTATTATGTCGAGAAACAATATGTACTATTTTTATGCTCAGAGCCAACACACAGTCTAAACCTGTATAAAGTTAGGTGAGTCATTACCATGGAGAGGTGAGGAGAGGCCTGGTTGAGAGGAGGTGGCCGGACTCTGAGAGGAAGAGACTGAAACAGAGAGAGAGACATTAATGGTATATAGAAAAATCTCACACACTCCTACCACTGGCTTCAGGTACGAGTGCTGGTGTAGAGTCAGGAAAGTGAGCTGCCACCACAGTCATTGCTAGCTGAGGAAGATTGACTGCAGGACTTTTGAGAGCATCTACAATGACTCTCCAGGTTGGTCTGGGCTCTACTTGGTTCAGGAACTCCAACACGATCTCAAGAAGGCGTTTGCGCGGCTCGGAAATGGTCGCGTGGATGCTCTTTACTTCGTGTGGCTTTAGATTCAACCTCAAGCCCAGTTCGTAGGACTGGTTTTGTGCTGGTAGTAGCTCCTCCAGTACTTTGACGGCATCGTTTGGAGTCAGGACCTCGCCACCCGTCGTCGGTGCTGTGTACATTGGGATAAGCTTATGTTAGCGATCAAGGCCACTCTAGTCTTTACCTTCGGCCATTTCTACCAAATCTCTCTGATCTAAATTCTACAAGGTGGTATACACATACGCAGCACGATCGAGGGACGGCCAGTGCTTGTTTACGCCTCCAGCATAATATATAGCTAGCTCCACCCACTCTTTTGACAAGCTCCAGCGCGCGTATGGCACGCCGTTTGTCACAAAATCCTAACCGCTCAAATTTGAGCGGTTAGGATTTTGTCGTGCCATATATACGCGCGCTGTTGCCCCTGCACGCAGGCACCGCTCTGTGCAGAGTCTAGTCCACTGCAGCATCCTGTCATAGAGTAGCTGGAGGGTCTGTTTCCTTCATGTGTAAAGGTGTAGTACGTAACTGAATGTGGATGATAGTGACGTCTTCACCTTCAAGATCAGCTGTTCATGTGATAGCATGCATACCCTATGGATGTGACTCAGCAATTGGCTCCTACATTTAGGAGTTGGAGGGTATATATATATACAGATACTGTCAGATTTTGCATGAGATTGCTGCAATTCTTCTTTCTTCTCTCCATCTCTCTTGAGAGTCTCTTCTCCATAGCATATATACCCTTTCTCCAGAAGTTGGCAACATACTCTCATCACGATGCTATTAGTCATTAGCTACTTGCCACTGCAACGGTGTGAAGGCAGATATTAATGGTGAAAAGTAAACCAGAGATTTCAGTTGGTGTACAATCAGTGGTAGCTAGTAGAGACAAAGTCAGTCAATGTTTAGAGGGCATGTTAGTCCAGTCAAAGTCAGTCCAGTCATCCAGGACTGCAGTACGGACCAGAGCCTCACACACCAGGTAGGGATCACCGTTACTGGACGGCCTTCTGTCCTCAAGGTAGCCTCGACCAGCTGCACACACACACACGTCATGTGGGAGAGGAGAGAAAGTTGATATTGTCACATCACAACCAATGCTACTAGATATAGCTATGCACACATGTGACAGAAACTATAGTATCGTGACTCTAAGAAACAACACCCACTGTAAACAAGAGCTCTCTAACACACTTTCATGGAGTGGTCAAATGCTACAGAGAGACTCCAACATGTTTAGTCAAGTGGATAATGGTCCTATGCTAATACGTATGATGTCATAATTATGTCAACCTTGAGCGACTCCACGAGGTATTCTGAGGGAGGCTCCTCTGTGGGCCACTCCCCAGAAGAACTGGTCAATGTAGCTGTCTCGTGAAGACCTGTCAGTCTACGACTGTTGTCTACTCCTGGGTCGGAGAGGAAGAGGGAGGGAGGGGAAAATAGGAGAGAGAAGGAATGATTGAAAAACTGGTTACATACTAGTTCACCACCATTCAATAAACCCAGGCTCCACGCACTTGCCATTCGTACAGTATAATGCAGACTACTGTTAGCGAGTGATGAAGTGATAAAAGTGCCTGATTATCACCAAACTTCCCTTCCTTACTCTCATCGCCCCCTCCCTCTCTCCCCTCCACTCACTCCACTGGGGTCATAGAGTATGATGTGTTCCTTGTGTCTCTTCTCCAGTCTCTGAATGGCCTCCTCCATCACCTGCAGCACACGCACACAATTACATTCTTGTCTCCTATTGCTATGGGTACTGTGCATATCGTCCGGGAAAGGGAGGAAAGACTGATGTCTAGGAGGTACATACCAACAGACGCATCTCATTGTTGGCTCTGCCCAGTACTGTATGTGTGTGCATGTGGGCTATGGCCTAGTGCTACTTGTCCAAACCTTTGAATCTTGAAAAGCATAGCAAAGCAAAATGTGTCCTACAATGTGACATAATAACAGAGCCTTGGAAGTACCTAAAGTTAAGTACAGTCCCAGTGACAAAGCTAATGAGATGAGAGAGATGGTAAAGACATACCTTCATGCCATTATCAGCCTTCATTCTGGAGGTGCTGAAGTTGCAGTGGCCTCCAGCCCCGTTCCAGTCTCCCGGCATGGGTTTGGGGTCCAGTGTCACTATCACTCCGAAATCCTCCGCCGCACGGTGCAAGATGTACCTTCAGCCACATACAGTGAATGGAGTGAGATCTATTTTATATTTTTGTGGTGACAGTGTTTATCTTTAACAAGAAGTTGGGGCTGAAACAATAAAGGTATGTGAGGTTTGCACATAAATCTACAGATAGTCTGTGAAGCAAGCAACACAAAGTTTAAAAGGTGCCTTGTGTGGGAATTTGACAAATGAGCAGAAAGTCCACAGCACACTACAAGGCAAGGGTGAACCCTAGTTCCCAGGCCTTCCTCACAACTAGGGTGTACATTTTGAGCTGTCAAACATACCTCAACACAAGATCAAGACACGAAAGGGTATATATACATGTCGGGCACGCTGGGAATACGAGTTCCTTTGAAATCTCTCTAGTTATACATAACACTGGAGTATGTACAGACCTGGAGACCCATAGTTCATCTCCCATGGCGATCCCCGGACAAGGTCCAACCTGGTACTCCCACTGAGCTGGCATCACCTCTGCATTGGAGCCACTCACACACAGCCCTGCATACAGACACGCCTTGTAATGAGCCTCTGATATCTGAGTACAGTGGGACACAAGACACCACGTGATAGACATGACAGTGGGCACATATGTAAAATGGCCTATCTTCAATGCAACAGGCACTTCTTTTTTTCTGTTTTTAAACCATGGCTTGCTAAGAAAACAGAATAAGGAACAATCCACAGTACATGATACACTGGTTAAACACACAGTAAGTATGCTATAAGGGAACAGGGCTAGGGGTTAGACTAGACCATGAAACAACAGAAAACAGTAAACCATGACTCAATGAAGCAATGCCCCTTTTTACCGGACACTGTTACCTTTAGCATAGTGATTCTCCAATCTCCTCTTTTAATTGGGACTACAGGATGCTCACTTGATCCACTACAGGATGATATGTACTTATCACAGTGTGTGTGTGTGTCAGTGGCGTATCTAAGATTTTGAGGGGGGGGGTTCCGCTTTCCAGAACACTTTCGACTGCACTCGTGCACAAGGCCGGCGATGCATGCGCGCAAGACGACAAAAGGAACCCCCTGGATCCACCACTGTGTGTGTGTGTGTGTGTGTCAACAAAGACGTTGGTGGCTCCCACAGCACAGTAGTAGGGACCTTGCTGTCCAGGGTAGCCCGACTTTGGCCAGCCAAATGGGTGACCATCGTAGTCCAGTAGAGTGTACTCCTGCTCTATGGCAAACTCTGGGTTCTCCTCATCCATCACTCTGACACACAGATATGTACATTAGTAGAACAGTATATTATAACTGGAAAGTGAGGCTGAGCCTACGTATGTATATTATAGTGGTCTGAATTGCTGAGTGTATACTGCATACTGTAAATAGTTGTTCATGTAAGCCACCAAAAATGTGTTGCTTTCAATCATTTTGTTTCGACAGAGTTTTCATGTAAAGTAAACTACGCAGATGCTATGAGGTTTAAATAGTTTGTTGGTAGAGAGTATGTGGGTGTTTTATATACTTCCATGTGTCAACAAAAAGGCGAGACGTAGAATGCTCTGGGTGGGATTTGAACGCAACACACTAGGCGAGCACTCTACCAACTGAGGCCATATACACTTTATTGTGTGTTCATGTCTAATGAGGAGAATGTGGTGTTTGTTCATTTATTCTCTTTTCTTTGTGGCTTAAGTTATGTAAAACCATGCTACACTGTCAAAATCGCAGCCAACTTCAAATGTGTGGGTATGATAGGCCATGCAGGAAAGTCACATGAATTTCGAAGAATTTGTAATGCTCGCAACATGTAACATGGTGACCTCCAGTAGTACACACCTCTCCATTATCCTGTCACAAGAGTATCTCTTGTTTGTAGGGTGAGGTGTCCCGTCCTTGGAATACGTCTCACACATCACTGGGATACTGTTACCCTGCACAACAACCACAGAATTTCTGCACAACAACCACCGAATTTCTAGTCCATAGCTTAGCAATAACATCACATAATCCTATGAAGTAAATTATGTCCATGAAGAACAAGAACAAATGTCTACATACAAATGATAATATGCCGACTAAAGCCAATATGTACATGGCACATGTCTAAAGTCTAATGCAACCATACCTGGGTATATGATAGCCCATGAAACATGTTGCATGACAAAAGGAGTGTTGTCTATTGCATGAAACATGCAGACACATCATACCCATACATTTACGTTGCCTGAGACCATCAATGTTGGCCTTTTCTCATACATTAGGATGCTGAGATTGATCACCAAACACACTAGTTATAGAGGTTAATGCAGACCAGGAAGAAAGGGTCTCTATAGAAGTTGACTGGTTTCAGGAGAACGTCACTGTCATGACCTTTGGCCTGGGAAGTGCTGTGAGGATATCATTAAAGTGAGGGAAGGAGGAAAAGGGGGCGATGTCATGGCAAATGTGCAAGACGAGCTTGTATAGCAGTCTGAATGCAAGAGAGACACAAGATAGTCAAACTTAGAGCTAGAGCACTGACGCCTACACTGCAGAGTGTCGTGGGTAAGAATGCAGTTTTTATGTCACGGCCGCAAATGCCGTAATGTTCTACTAAAATTTAAGCCAGAAAAAAGTGTTAAATGGTCACACTGAAGAAGGTGTTTGCGCGGCTCCGAAACGGTTGCGTGGATGCTCTTTTTACGTCGTGTGGCTTTAGATTCATCCTCTGTCCCAGTTCGTACGACTGGTTCTGTGCTGGGAGTAGCTCCTCCAGTACTTTGACGGCATCGTTTGGAGTCAGGACCGCGTCACCCGTCGTCGATGCTGTGTATAAGCTCATTGGCGAGCGGGAGCGAGCTGGTATATAAACTTTTACATCGTATATTTCTCCAACCACACTTTCTGCGATAAATCGGTCTAGAGAAGATGCCCTTCGTCGTCGACGAGAAAGGGAAAGAGAACGTCGTGCCAGTGAGACTTCTGAGCAAAGAGAGGCCCGTCTTTCTCGACGGCAACTGCATGCGTGATAGGGAACGGGCATGGCAACGCCTGGCCACGGAAACAGCGGCAAGAAAGGGAAGCACGACTAGCGAGAAGTCGTGCACGAGCAAGAGCTACACGTGCTGCCGAATCAGAGGAAACGCAACAGGACAAGGCGAATTGCCGTCAAGACAGTCATTCATTGTGTGCTCGCTCCCGCTCGCCAAAAATGGCATGCATTCGCCTACTAGTATATACATATAAGTAATCTACTGCAAATCAAGGTTATTGGGCTTTACCTTCGGCCATTCGATCGTCGATTAATGGACTAATGGGCAGGGCTTGTAAGATCATACACGCATGCGCAGTTTTCTGCATTTTGAGCGGAGGCGCGCTCTGAACGACCATTCTCTGTCCATGTTAGTGTCCAGACTTGGTTCGCTAGACTAGAGCCAGATGGTGTCTACACTTGTATCAGCGACGTGGCTGAGGCAGCAGGTGGTTAATGGACTGAAGAACATCAGAATACTAGACGGTGGGTGAGAGATGCTATGCACTCATGATGTAGCTAAGCTGTCTACATGAACTTCTGTTCAGCCTCGTGGACCATGTCATGAGAAGGGAGGGCGGCCTTCTTGGGTGAGAGATTGGCTGGAGCCCAGCAATTTGACATTGACGAGGTGTCAGAGCAGAGTTCTCCCTATCCTCACATGATCCCTTCCCCTCACCGCTTCCAGACCCTCGTGGCCAAGGTCAGGGGCCACTCTCTCACGGAACACTGCTCTCATGTTGCATGGTGTAATGCTTTAATGTACTATATACAGCACAGAGTATTCGAGGTGCCTTTTATTTTATGAGCCATGCCTGCTGGTTTGCATACTATATAGCTCGGTGGGTGGAGCACTCAGTTTAAAGCAGAGTTATAGTCTCACAAACCACACCCTCTTTCCTTGTATGACAGGTTGGCTTGGGAGACTAAGAAGATTATCGTGGGTTCGAGGGCAGTTTTTGTTGGAAAGAAACACTCGCACCAGAACTGTACTAGAACTGGACATTCTATTTATCCATTGATTTCAATATTACTTTTGTATCACGTGATCTCTCTCTCCATGTTGCTCTGTAGCTGCTATCGATATTGAATCGAGTTTGATCAATATTTTCAACAGGTTATGGGCCCAGCCTATAAGGCCTAACAAGCTAGCTACGCTTCTTTTTGACTGCTAAGCCTCGGATCTATGGCTGAGTCGAAGTCTGTCGCGATTGTCCCGTTGTGCGGGTCGAATTACCCCACCTGGAAGGTTCAGTGCCGGATGGCACTGGTCAAGGATGGACTGTGGAACATAGTCAATGGCACGGAGACAATTCCAGACGGAGGAAACGCTGACAGACGCGCCAAGTTTGAGGCAAGGAGAGATCGGGCTCTCGCTCTCATCGTTCTGTCCATTCAGCCATCGCTACTCTATCTTCTCGGTGAACCTGACGATCCAATCGCTGTATGGAAGAAACTGTCAGAACAATTCCAGAAGAAGACGTGGGCCAACAAGCTTGGTTTAAGGAGGAGGCTGTATTCCCTTAAGCTGAAAGAGGGAGATTCTGTTCAAGAGCACATCCGTAAGATGACAGAAATATTTGAGGAGCTTGCTGTTATCGGTGATCCTGTAAAAGAGGAGGACCGTGTTGCATTTGCTAGCAAGCTTACCGGAGTCCTACAACATGCTTGTCACAGCCCTCGAAGCCAACTCTGATGTACCCCCCATGGAGGTTGTTACAGAACGTCTGTTGAATGAAGAGAGAAAGCAGAAAGACAGGGGAGACAGTGAGAGTACTCACCCGAAAGCTATGCCGGTCACTCGCTCAAAGAAGATCAGGTGCTACCACTGCAAGAAACTTGGTCATTTAAAGCGAGATTGTCGTCTTCTGAAGCAAGAAGAGTCCACTCGTAGCAAGGAGCGTCGACCCAAGGCAAATAAAGCTGCTGACCAGACCAAGGGAAAAGAGAGTGATGACGCTATGTTAGTAAGTCATGCACTACAGGCAGGATCGACAGGAAACTGGATTGTTGACTCGGGAGCTACATGTCACATGTGTAGCAACAAGAAGTTGTTTATGAATCTTCAACCTCTCGAGAAACCGATGGAGGTGTCACTAGGAGACGGACACACTCTTGAAGCAATCGGTATGGGGACAGTACCTCTGAAGATGAAACTGCCAAACAGTTCACCACGACGATGCAATCTCAAAGACGTGCTCTATGTGCCAGCACTGTCGTACAACCTTATCAGTGTTGCAAAAGCAGCTGAAAATGGAAAGGTCACCGAGTTCGATGACAGTGGTTGCCAGATTGTGGGGTCAGGGAGAAGGTTAGTTGCCAAAGCGACTAGAGTAGGAAGTCTCTACTATCTCGACTGCGAAATCGACCAGAATGCCAGTGTTGCACAAGCATCAAAGGAAGTTTTGTGGCACCAGCGTTATGGACATCTCAATGTGCAAAGTCTGCAAAAGCTTTCTCGAAACAACCTGGTGGAGGGGCTCGATTTTAACATCACAAAGGATATAGAGTTCTGCGAGACGTGCGTAAGAGGCAAGCATACAAAGTCCGCTTTCCCGACCAGCGAAAGAAACCGAGCAGCAGAACCACTGGATCTTGTTCATAGTGATGTCTGTGGGAAGATGAACGCTCGTTCGTTGGGTGGGGCAGAGTATTTCCTCACTTTCATCGATGATCGAACCCACTACACATGGATCTACGTCCTCAAGCACAAGGACGAAGTCTTCGACTGTTTCCTACGTTGGAAAGCACTCGTGGAGAAGTCAAGCGGGAGGAAGGTCAAGGCGATTCGTACCGACAACGGTGGAGAGTACACGTCTACAAAGTTCGAAGATTATTTGAAGTCTGAAGGCATCCGTCACGAACGCACTGTACCAAAAACACCCGAGCAAAACGGTGTTGCCGAGCGAATGAACCGGACCCTAGTCGAAGCAGTGCGCTCAATGCTGACAGATGCAAAGCTCTCGCAAAGGTTTTGGGGAGAAGCTATCTCCACAGCAGTCTACCTCAGAAATCGGAGCCCAACGAAAGCCGTCGAGGGAAAGACACCCTACGAAGCATGGATGGGGAAGAAGCCTACAGTCAGTCATCTCCGTGTGTTTGGGTGTGATGCGTATGCACATGTTCCGAAAGACGAGAGAGGAAAACTCGATGCGAAGGCAAAGAAGTGCATTTTCGTTGGCTATGGGGAGGAAACGAAAGGGTATCGACTTTATGATCCGGTGCGTGGAAAGATCATTTTCAGCCGAGACGTGGTGTTCAATGAGGGAAACAGTGGAGGTTTGGGTGTTGGAGGTTTGGGTGTAGGAGGTGCCAGTGGTTACGTAGAGCTGGAGCTCACAAGTGACGACAACACACCGCAAATCTCAGAGTTGCCTCAAGCAACAGAAGGGGATCATCTCGACACATCAACAGATTTGGCTCCCGACGAGTCTCAACAAATAGTTCGACGATCAACGCGACAGAAGAAAATGCCGGATTACTTCAGCTGGGAGGCAAATGTTGCCGGAAGTTGTGTACAGGAGCCACACACTGTGGAGGAAGTACTGAGTACTCCAGAGAAAGTACAGTGGGTCAAGGCAATGGAAACGGAGATGAAATCTCTACAAGAAAACGAAGTGTGGGATCTGGTGGAATTGCCAAGGGGGCGCAATCCTGTCGGTAGCAAGTGGGTCTTCAAGGTGAAGACTGACGAAGATGGGAATATCGAACGCTACAAAGCTCGACTAGTCGCTCAGGGTTTCACTCAGAAATTTGGAGCTGATTATGATGAGACCTTCTGCCCTGTGGTGAGGCTGGAATCTATCCGGACTCTCATTGCACTGTCGGTGCAGCATGATCTCCAGCTACATCAGGTTGATGTCACCACTGCCTTTCTCAATGGCAAGCTGGAAGAGGAGGTCTTTATGAAACAGCCGGAGGGTTTTGTCGCCAAGGGGCAGGAGCATCTCGTTTGCAGACTAAAGAAGAGTCTGTACGGCCTCAAGCAGTCACCACGCTGCTGGAATATTGCGCTTCACCAGCATCTGAAAGGGCTTGGTTTTATTCAAGCTGAGAGTGATCCCTGTATCTATCGTGCATCAAGTGGAGAGCCATTCTTCATTGGTGTCTACGTCGATGACATCGTGATGGTTTCAAAGAGCAAGGGACGACTCGCAGAAGTAAAGCAGTCTCTCGCCAAGAAGTTCGATATCAAAGATCTAGGAAAGCTACACCACTTCCTCGGAATGAAAATCGTCCAAGACGAATCCACTGGAAACGTGTGGGTTGGGCAGCAAGTTTACACGGAAAACCTGCTGAGGAAGTTTGGAATGGAAAGTGCAAAGCCCGTTGCTACTCCCGTTGATAGCAGCACAAAGCTAATGAAAGCGACAGCAAATGACGAGTGCATTGATCAGCAGAAATATCAATCAGCTGTTGGAAGTCTGCT